CCAGCAGAGTCTCCCTGCTCCACATCCTCCCCTGCTTTCATCTTCCTGCATTCTCAACGTTCCTCTGGCCCAACCCAGGGGCCCTGTGCGCTCTGCTCTGGCTGGAGCTCTGCGCCTCTCCTGCTGCATGCGGTTCTGCATCCTAGTGCTGCACTTGCTGCTCGTTCTCAACAACAACAACTTTTAGGGAGAGAGTTTCCATCCACGGTTTGGCTCCCAGATGGCCAAAATGGCTGGAGTGGGACCTGTCTGAAGCCAGGAGCCAGGAGCTTCTTCTAACCATCTCATGTGAGTGTAGAAGCCTAAGGGCTTTGGCCAACCACTGCCTGTTTCCCAGGTGCATTAGCATGGAGCTGGATTCGAAATGGATCAACCTACTTAAACTGGTACCCAGATGGGATGCTGGTGCCACAAGTGGCAGCTTTACCTACTGTGCAATCATGCTGGCCTCTCTTTTCTTTAATGTTTTATAGTTTTAATTATTGAATTTTCTCACATTCTTGATCAAATTTATTCCAAAGCATTCAAAAATTTCTTGTATTTTGAATGAAATTAATTAAAAAAAAAGATCTATTTTATTTTTATTGGAAAGTTGGATGTACGGAGAGGGAGAGAGGAAGAGCTGTTGGCTGATTCATTTCCCAAGTGGGCGTAATGGCTAGAGCTGAGCTGATCCAAAGCCAGGACCTCTCCGAACCTCCTCCGGTCTCCCATGTGGGAGCAGGGTTCCGAGGCTTTGGGCCATCCTTGGCTGTTTTCCTAGGTTAGAAGCAGAGAGCTGGTAGGGAAGTGCAGAAGCCAGGATATGAACTGGTGCCCCTATGGGATCCTGGCGGATGCAAGGGAGGATCTAACCACTAGGGTACTGTGCCAGGCTCTGTACCACTTCTGATCCAGCTCCCTGCTTATGTCCTGAGAAAGCAGAGAATAGCTTAAGTCCTTGGGCTCCTGTACTCCTGTGTGAGATCTGGAGGAAACTCCTGGCTCCTGGCTTCAAATTGATTTGGCTCTAGCTGTGATACTCATTTTGGGAAATAAACCAGTGATGATAAGATTTGTCTCTCTGACTCTCCTCTGTAAATTTGCCTTTCAAATAAAAATAAATAGACCTTAAATTTTCTTTATATTAGAGAAAACAAATTCCATGCCTTCTGTAGGCAGAGCTCCAAGGTGGTAAATGTATTTCCCCTGCTCTCCTTCTTCCCTGCCAAACCCCTCCTCCTTCTCCTTCTCTTCAGTAGTATTTTGTATAGCTACAGTTTTAATCCATTCTATATTCACAGGCTTAATTTGACCAATAATTGTAAAATTCAACAAGTAAAATGTAGTAAAGACCACAAAACCCTATTTGCACTGGAGTAAAGCATGGGCTGAAAAGGACAGTTCTACCCTATAGTGAACATCTTATTCTGTACCTTTTTTTGGTGTGTGTTCTATATTAGCTGCCACATATTAGAGAAGACATAATATTTATCTCTTTATAACTGGCTTATTTTGCTATGAATAATGGTTTTCGGTTGAATCCATTTTGTTAAAAGACAAGTTGTCTTTTTAAATGGCTGAGTAGTATTCCACAGTGTGTGTGGTATGTACCACATTTTCTTTTTGCAGTCATCTGTTGGTAGACAGCTTTGACGTTTTTTTGGGTCTCTCTTGTAGGTGCAGGGTCCCAAGGGTTTGTACCATCCTTTACTGCTTTCCCAGGCCACAAGCAGGGAGCTGGATGGGAACTGGAAAAGCCGGGATACAAACCGGCCCTCATATGGGATCCCATCATGTCCAGAGCCAGAACTTTTTGATTTTTGCCTCTGTGAACTCTTTGATTTTTTTAAAAAAGATTTTTTTTTGAAAGGCAGATTTACAGAGAGAAGGAAAGGCAGTAAGATCTTCCATCAGCTGATTCAGTCCTCAAGAGGCCACAATGACCAGAATTTAGCCAGTCTGAAGACAGGAGACAGGAGTTCCTTCCACATCTGGCATGCACGTGCAGGTTGTTTTCACAGGGCAGGACCAGGAAATTGTGTAGAAAGAGGAGCAGCTGGCCCCAAATGAAATTGATCTTGCATATTCTTTCTCAGCCATGGAAATGTTTATGTTTGCAAAGGTGTTGATTTTTTGTGTATTGGTTTTATATTCTGCAAGTCTATTAAGCTCTCTATGAGTTTAGCTGTCTCTTAGTAAAGTTTTTTGTTTTGCAATTTCCACATATAATCATGTGATCTGCAAAGAGGGTAACTTGACTCCTGCTTATACAAATCAGTGAATGTGATACATAACATTTACAAGTTGAGTAAAAACCATGATTATCTCAATATAAAACATTCGATAAAATGGAATATCCTTTCATGACAAAACCTTATACAAATTGAGTATGGAAGGAGCATTCCTCAACATAATCAAGGCAATAAATGACTGTTCCACAGGCAATATATGTTGAATTTGGAAAAGCTAGGACTATTTTTATGAAGGTCCAGGACCAAACAAGGATGCCCACTCTCATCACAGCTATTTAATATAATTCTAGTTTCAGCTTGCGCTATCAAAGGAATACAAGTGAAAATAAGATATTATTGAAGAGGCTGATGTGGCGTAGTGACTTAGGCTTTTGCCTGGGTTGCTAGCATTTCATATGAGGTCTCGTTTGAATCCTGGTAGCTCCACTTTAGATTCAGCTTCCTGTTAAGGTGCTTGGGAAAGCAGTGGAATATGGCACAGGTGCTTGGGCCCCTACCACTCCCAGGGGGACCCATATGGAGTTCCTGGCTCCTGGTTTTTCGTGTGACTCAGCCCAGATTGTTAGCATTTGGGGAGTGAACCAGCAGGTGAAAGAACTGCCTCTGCTTCTGTCTCTTTGACACTCTGCCATTTAGATAAATGAAAAACATATTTTTAAATATGTGAGGTATCTTGGTCTGAAGTCTGATTCCATGGGTTGATTTTGATTTTGTTTCAAGTTCCGTAATAGTGGCCTTTGTTGTCTCATATATATTTGCTTCACTGTATTTTCTTTGATTTTTGCCGAGATTTACAACTCTATTTCTTTTGCATCTCCTAAGAATGCTTTTAAGAAAGCTGTGAAGTAATTTGATAATAATTTAAACTGAGTGGTCCTTGTATGCCATCCTTTGTGTTAGGCAATTTATATGCATTTAGGGTAGTTATTGGCTCCATTTTAAAAATAAAAAAGAAAAATCTGAAACTTAAGAAAGGTATATAAACAGCTCTGTTTTTGTTCATTGCTTAGAAGTGTTAGGATTTCAATCCAGTTTTCCTTGTTGTTGTTATTCCTGAATGTATTGATTATAAAAGTTAATTTATAGGGCCCGGCGCGGTGGCACAGTGGTTAAGGTCCTCGTCTTGCATGCCCGGGATCCCATATGGGCGCCGGTTCTAATCCCGGCAGCCCCGCTTCCCTTCCGGCTCCCTGCTTGTGGCCTGGGAAAGCAGTCGAGGATGGCCCAAAGCTTTGGGACCCTGCACCCATGTGCGAGACCCGGAAGAGGCTCCTGGCTTTGGATCGGCATAGCGTTGGCTGTTGCGCTCACTTGGGGAGTGAATCATCAGACGGAAGATCTTCCTCTCTGTCTCTTCCTCTCTGTATATCTGCCTTTCCAATAAAAAAATAAAAAAAAAATAAATCTTAAAAAAAAAGTTAATTTATAGATACTAAAGTTGTAATTTTAAAGAAAGCAACCACTGGAGCTTGGCCAGTCCAAAGCAGGAGGTAGCTTCATCTGTGTCTCCCAGCTGGGTGTAGGGGTTCAGTATTCGGGTTAGTTTCTGTTGTATCTCAGGTGTGATAGCAGTGAGTTGATTTGGAAGTATAGCAGCTGGACCTGCCCCAGCACAGGTTTGCCAGCACTGCAAGTGGTGGTTTTACTTGCTGTGCCATCCCCTCAACCATATTTTGGGTAGAAAATGTCCTGAATGGCATTAACAGCAGATTATATGTTGCAGAATACTGGTATTCTGGAGGATAGCATTAGAATTTACCTACTGTGAAACAGGAAGAATGAAAAGGTATGGAAAAGTTAGTGGGTTGTAGGAAAATTTTCAATGACAAATCTAATGTTTAAGGGAGAAGGAATGGTGAAGAGCGTCAAAAATTTTTGAAGAAGTAATAACTGAAAAACTACACTATAAACTCATAGACCCAAGAAATTTATTGAAGCCAAAGCTCAAAAAATACAAAGGCAACTATAGTAAAGCATGTCATGTTTACATTCCTGAGCACCAATAATAAGGCGAGAAATCTTAATAGCTACTAGGGCAAGAGATACATTATACTAAGAGGAACAAAGATCAGGATGACCATAGATTTTTTTTTTCTTCTTTTCATCAGAAAGTGTAAAAAGAAAAGCAGAGCATAGAATAGCATTTCATAAGCCTTATGAAAAAGATTATTTCTGTCAATCTACAATTCTGTGTAAATGATAGTACCTTTTAAAAACAGAGGGCCAGTGTTCTTATGCTCCTAGATGAGCCACTGCTTCCAACACCAGCATCCCAAATGTGAGTGCAGGTTCAGGTCTTGGCTTCTCTGCTTCCAAACCAGCTTCCTACTGATGCTCCTGGGAAGGTAGCAGATGATTGCTCAGGTGCTTGGGCCCCTGTACTGTGAGAGACCCAGAGGGAGTTCTTGGCTCCTGATGGTTGCTTGGCCCAGAACTGGCTAGAATCTGTCCACTCTTGGTCACTTTTTTTTTTTTTTTAATTTTATTAGTGATGATTACACAGTTGATCAGAGTGGGAAGGGTCAAGGATCAGGGGATGGTAGGTGAGATCATTGCCTATACATTTTCTTCTTGGTCACTTTCTAAACAATTAGCATTCAGTCTTTTTATCTTTTAAAAAAGAAAAGACAAAAGAGGGTCTTGTTCAGATACTATAACTGGAAAGAATTTATTACCAGTAGAAGAAATGTTAAAGGAAATCATTTACTTTGAGGGAAAACAAACATCAGATAAAAACAGGGATCCAGACAAAGGAATGAAGTACACTGGAGATGAAAAATACAAATGATTTTAAAAAAACACACATTGTTTAAAATCTTTTAGAGCCAGTTGTCTGGGCCAGTTGCTGGCCAGGTTTTAGATATTAATCTGGCTGCAGAGCCAAAAGTGAACCGAGGGAAAGCAGGCGTGAAATGATCTGCAGCGGAGATGTACGGCTCCTCCTTGACTTGGACTATGACTTTCAACGTGATTATTATGACAGGATGTACAGTTACCCAGCACGTGTTCCTCCTCCTCCTCCTATTGCTCGGGTTGTAGCGCCCTCTAAACACCAGCGCGTATCAGGAAACACCTCAAGAAGGGAGAAAAGTGACTTAAACTCTAAGAGCGGACCACGAGGATCTTCTTCCAAATCTGGAAAATTGAAAGGATATGACCTTCAGTTCATTAAGAAGGAGCTGACCCAAATAAAACAAAAAGTGGAGTCTCTTCTGGAAAGCCTGGAAAAAATTGAAAAGAAACAGAGCAAACAAGCAGTAGAGATGAAGAATGATAAGTCAGAAGAGGAAAAGAGCAGCAGTTCCCTGAAGAAAGATGAGACTAATGTGAAGATGGAGTCTGAGGGGGGTACAGATGACTCTGCTGAGGAGGGGGGCCTACTGGATGACGATGATAATGAAGATCGGGGGATGACCAGCTGTAGTTGATCAAGGATGGTGAAAAAGAGGCTGAGGAAGGAGAGGATGACTCTTAAGTACATAGTGGGGATTAGCATCTTATCCCATTATTTCTTTATCTAGGCGCTTGTCTAAGATCAAAATTTTCACCAGATCCTCTCTCCTAGTATCTTCATCACATGCTCACTGTTCGACCCATCCTTGTCTTTCCTGTGTTCATTAATTCATTTCCCTGCGCCTAGTCCCATTTTCATTTCCTTTGATGCTCCTGGTAGTTTTGTTAAGTCTTGCCCTGTAATTTTTGCTTTTAATTTTGATACCTCTTTGACTTAACAATAAAAAAGTATGTATGGTTTTTATCGACTGTCTCCAAAATAATCTCTTTTTAATGCAGGGAATATAGTTCTTTCCATGCATACATGAGTTCTGTAGTTGCTTCCCTAACTGCAAAGGCCATCTCATTTAGCTGAGTAGCACCTGGGAGCAGCTTTGAGTTAAAGGTGTGTGTGCTCTACCCCACTTAACAGTGCTGTGTGGGGCTGTTCAACACAACTGTAACAATGTATTTTTGTGAATGAAAGTTGGCATGTCAAATGCATCCTCTAGAAAAAACAGTGTAATAGTCTTAATATTTGTTTTCTTAAGTTGATACTGTGGGTTATTTTGGTGAACAGCCTGATGTTGGGACCTTTTTCCCTCAAAAACAAGTCCTTATTAAACCAGGAATTTGGAGAAAAAAAAATCACTGGAGCACTGATTTGAGTCCTGGCTATTTCTGCTTCCAATTAAGCATCTGCTGTTGCATCTGGAAGACAGTAGTTACTGGCCCAGGTACTCCAGTCTCTGCTATCCACCTGGGAGACCTGGATGGAATTCCCCACTCCTGCCTTCTACCTGGCCCGTCCCTGGCTGTGTGGGCATTTGAGTGAACCAACAAATGGAAGATCTATCTCTCTCACTGTCACTGCTTTTCAAATAAATGATTTTTTAAAGAGGCAATTATTTAAATTGAAACAATAGCATTTTATTATAGGGCATGTAAGATATGTCTAATTAAAATAAATAATGACAGTAGCCTACCAACCAGAAAAAGAGGAATGTAACTACACTATTATCAGCTTCTTATATCTAAAGTGGTGTAATGTCACTGGAAGGTAGGTAGGGCGAGGTGAGTTAGAGATGTAGCCTATGAACCTTAAAGCAATTCCTGAAATAGCCAAAGAGTTGTAGGTCTGAGTTCAACTTAAAGATAAAATGGAATGAAAAATTAGTTCAGTTGAAGGCAGTCGGAGGATATGGGAACATAGATCAGACAGAAAATAGCAATATGGTAGGTTTGAACCTAATCACATTAATACTCACTTTTTAAATATAAATGGCTTAAGCACCCCAGAGATTGCCAGATTGGGTAAAAAGCAAAATCTACTATACTGGCATACTGCTTAAAAGAAACTCACTTTAAATATAAATATACAGATCAGATATAAAATAATAGCAAAAGATACATCAAAGGAGAAGGAGGTGCTGGCATGATGTAGTAGGAAAAGCCACCTAAAAAGACTATCACATGTGGGCCCTTGTTCATTTCCGGGCTGCTCCACTTCTGATCAGTTTTCTGTTTAGGAAAGGCAATAGAAGATGGCCTCAGTGTCTGAGAGTCTGCCACTCACCTGGGAGACCCAGATGAAGCTTCTTGTTCCTGACCTTGACCTAGCACTGACTGTTGAAAGTCAGGGTTACAGACACAGGGAGCTAGATACAGAGAAATTCCAGCTGTTGCTTCACTCCCCAGGTGGCTGCAGGACCCTTAAATACTTGGGCTATTTTCTGCTGCTTTTTCCAGGCCATTAGTTGGGAGTGGGATATGAACTGGCACTCACAAGGATGCCACTTTTGTAGCTAGCAGCTTCAGTTGTGGCTATGCCACAGTGCTGGCCCCTAAAGTAAAATTTTTTAAATGAAAAGGGGTGGAATGGTTTAGTTAGTATCAGATATGTAGCTAATGCACATTTGCATCTGTAATACTACAGCTTAAAAATATGAGAAGTAAGACCTATATGGAGAAAGACAAAGTTGCAATCATATATTTGAACAGTTAGAAAATCAGTAAGATTGTGAAAGATTGAGAAAGCTTTTGACCATCCTGAACCAATTGATATTTATATTTATAAAACATCTTATCAGTAAGAATAGAGATTGGTGTTTCTAGAACACCCATGCAATGATAAACAAAATTCAAAATCTTTCCAAATGTACGTGCAACATGCCAAAGGAAACTCTATTTTCAGTCAAAACAAACCTCAGTGTATTTGAAGGGTTGCATCATGCATAGAATATTCACTGGCTATTAAATTAGAAGTTAACAACTGAAATGTAGATGAAAATCTTCAATATTTAGAAAATAACAGGTTTCCAAGTATCACACATGGGTCAAAGAAGAAATCAAAAGAAATATTAAAAGTGTGTTGAACAGAATAACAATGAAATGTAGCAGTTTGTGAGCTGCTTCCGAAGCAGTATTTGAGTTTTAAAGCTGCAAAGATCCATGTTAGAAAAGAAGAAAGGTCTTCCACCTATGACTTCACTTTATGAAATTAAAAAAGACCAGGTTAAACTCAAAGTAAGCAGAAGGGAACAATAATGACCAAACTGAAAATCAGCAAAATAGAAAAAATAGGGAAGAAAAAAAATCAAAGGAACCGAATGATATCTCTTTGAGATTAGTAAGATTGGTACGTTTCTACCTATCCTGATCTGAAACAAAGGAGTGAAGTTAGGGACTGTTTACATCAGGAAGGAAAAAGGTGGCATGATTAGATGCAAAAGGTGCTGAAAACATAACATGGACAGTATTATGAGCAGCTTATCTCCATAAATTCAGCAACTTGGAAGACATGGGTAAACCTCATCATCCAAAGAAAAATAGTTATCCTAACTCTATGAAATTGAAATTTTAGTTATTATTATTTTTTTTACATACAGACACACCACCACCAGCACCAATAATAACGACAATAAAATCCTCCAAGGCCAACATGGATTCACTGATGAATTCTACGACACATTCAAGGAAGAAAAGTAGTCATGTTGCATAAATTTGTACAGAACCTTGAAAGAATATTATTTCTCAACTTATTCTTACTTTTGCTGTAATACTAAAACTTGACAAAGGATTGTATGAGAAAATTATTGGCCAGTATGTCCCCAAAATTGGATAAGAATACTGAATAAAATTACAGCTAATTGAATGCAATGGTTTCATCAAGTAGTTTGTAATCAGTGATACAAGAATGGTTTAACTCATCAGTTTAACTTACCATATTTAATAAATAAAAAGAAAAAAAAACTGTGATAATTTTAATAGGTAGAAAGAAGAGTTGGCATTTGGTGCAGTTGTTAATTTGTCACTTGGGATGTGTGTGTATCCTGTATCAGAGTGCCTATTTTGAGTTCTGGCTTCTTCACTTTCAAGCTAACTTACTGCTAATGCACCGTGGAAGGCAGCAGTTGATGGCTCAAGTACTTGGGTCCCTGCCATGCATGTTGAAGACTATTGGGAGTAGTTGAGGTTGTAAACCAACAGATGGAGGTTCTCTCTTGCTCTGCTTTTCAAATGAAACAAAGGTAAATTTAAAAATAGGGCCTGGCACAGTAGCTAGTGGCTAAAGTCCTCACCTTGCACCCATTAGGATCCCATATGGGCGCCTCCCGGCAGCCCCGTTTCCCATCCAGCTCCCTGCTTGTGGCCTGGGAAAGCAGTTGAGGATGGAACAAAGCCTTGGGACCCTGCACCTGCATAGATCCAGAAGAGGCTTTGGGCCCCTGGGTTCGGATTGGCTCAGCTTCAGCCATTGTGACCACCTGGGGAGTGAGCTATTGGAAGGAAGATCTTTCTCTCTGTTTCGTCTCCTCTCTGTATGTCTGCCTTTCCAATAAAAAATGCTGATTAAAAAAAAGTTTGAAAATAAAGAATACGCAGCTGAGAAAAATCAGCATCTGTTCTTGAGATTTTTTTTATTACTTTTTTTGTTTTATTCTTATTTATTTATATTTTGTTTTGTTATTGAGAGTTTTTTTGTCAGCAAACTATGAATAAAAGGAAACTTCCTCAACCTGGTAAGGAACATTGAATCAAACCTACAGCTGTCACCCAAATGTGTGTGTATGGTCAAAATTCTATTATACTAAGTTATAAAACATAAAAATAATGTTTGTTGAATAGGTAATGTTATTTGTGTCAGTGACACAATTCATGTATTTTTGATACTGTAAATAATCACAGAAATCATATTAGACTGAGAAAGACCTTCAACATGATACTGATTAAAACTGTTGTCTAATTTTTACAGGCCAGTATGGAAATCCTTTAAATAAATACATCAGACATTATGAAGGACTGTCTTACAATGTGGATTCCTTACACCAAAAACACCAGCGTACCAAAAGAGCAGTCTCACATGAGGACCAGTTTTTGCGTCTGGATTTCCATGCTCATGGACGGTGAGTAAATCTGTTACCTAACTGACTGTATCTGGAATTCTCCCCTGTTCATCTGGTTGAAGAAGAAATTACTATACTTAATACTCCTTCTCTAAATGGAAAGGTTCCTGTTTGGAAATTCAGCTTCCACAGGAATTTGGTTATACATGTTACTGATTGTCCTTCTGTGTTGCTAAGGAAATAGTCAAATAATAGGATGTTGGGCTCTACCATTGTCATGATACATTTAAATATGTGAACTTGTGACTGTTGCTGAAGGAAATAGTCAAATTTAAATATTTTTGAACTTGTGAAATCAGATTGCAGATACCCAGGGAGTTCAGAAATTCATGGAGATTAAAATATAATTAAAAGAAATCAAAACATAATTAAAAGGTAAATTAAAAGAAATTCATGGAATTAAAAGGTAAATTTATTGTAGTACAAAAAAAAAATAAGAAATTCATCCTTACTTTTTTCATAATACCCATTGTGGTATTTTTTTTTTAAAGATTTATTTATTTATTGGAAAGTCAGATATACAGAGAGGAGGAGAGACAGAGAGGAAGATCTTCCATCCGATGATTCACTCCCCAAGTGAGTGCAATGGCTGATGCTATGCCGATCCAAAGCCAGGATCCAGGAACTTCTTCCGGGTCTCGCACACGGGTGCAGGGTCCCAAAGCTTTGGGCCATCCTCAACTGCTTTCCCAGGCCACAAGCAGGGAGCTGGATGGGAAGCGGAGCTGCTGGGATTAGAACCAGCGGCCATATGGGATCCCGGGCGCGTTCAAGACAAGGACTTTAACTGCTAGGCCACGCCGGCGGGCCCAATACCCATTGTGTTTTGAAAGCATGTTATGTGTTTATAAATTTGTTT